CTTAGTGTCTTTCATTCCAACATAAGAAAACATTTCTGGAATCTGCATCTGAAATAGCATTTAGATGTATTTACACAGTTTATGTATCTCAGAGGGGACATGGATGCATTTAAACTACAGTTACAGATGCATAAATAGGCCTACTGTTTTGTTTTTAACATAAAATGTTGAACACTAATATTTGAAATAACTTAAAACATGAAAAAAATATTCGAAATGTGAAATTAAAACCGCCAGTAGGTTACAGCAAGTGACTGTTGAAGAGTGAGTCACTGAGATTCAACCAATTCATTCAAACGGCTGATTCTTTCAGAAACAAAGCATTTGACTAATGAGTGAACCACTGAATCATTTATTCAAGCGATTCGTTCAAAAAGCTGATTCATTTGATAATAAACACCGTCCATTGCTCAGAGACGCAAAACAGTGCTGTGATCTTTGGAACTATTTTCATTGGCAAAATTGAGCAAAAACAAGCAATATTATGTCTACAATTTAATTAAGTCACTTATTGCTTTACTGAACTTGTAAAAAAGATTATTAAATGTGTTCATGCTGATATCTGCAGAAAAACTACTCTTTGTGTGATATAGATTAAGTTAACTATATTAAATTATATAAATATAAAAAGCATACAGAAGCATTTTTGCCGTCTACAATTTAGAATGCCTGGAATTTTGAGTTTTAAGACTAATAAATCACGCCGTGCACTCTGTGTGTGATCTGGTGATATAGCCAACTTGATCATGTCAGATCGCAGATACCATATTATCGCAGAAGATATACTGTATATCGCAAACCCCCGACTCGACTTGAGTGGAAAATGAATGATCTATGGTTGTGTGAGCACTTGTTTGCAGACATTGCACAGCAAAAGCGTTTTTAGGAGTCTGACTTGCAGACACCAGACCACTGATTCGTCAAACCTGCTTTCCTTCAGTCCGTGTTCTTCTGACTATTTTGTAGCAAGTAACGAATATGCTTCGGGGAAATGTATCGGAGTAAAAGTATACATTTTAATTAGGAAATGTAGTGGAGTAAAAGTAAAAGTTGGCTGAAATAAAGTACAGATACTCCCAAAAAATACTTAAGTATTGTAACGAAGTATTACTATTAAGTATTATATTACTTTGTTGCATTACACCACTGTGTTTTGCCATAAGGAGATCAAGTTATCCACTTACTGTAGTTACTAGGTTTTAGTGATGATAATTTCTTTAAACTGGCATTATACAACTCTTGGTTCCAGGCAAATTAAACACAAACGAAAATTAAATGCATTTTCAGAGAACAGATGTTAAAAAAATACCATTACATTACAATTACTTACCAAGTATTTATATTATATGTTCTATTGTATACTATTATATGACAAATATATTTGCAGCAGAAAAATATATATTTGCATGTCTTAACAGATTAACAAGATTTTAAGTATATGTTTTAAATGTTTAAAATTAATGTAGCTGAGATTAGCTTAAGAAGAATTTGACAAGAAAATAAAAATATAATTAAATGTAATATAATTAAGTGTAATTAAAATCATAACAGTCAAGAGTCAGATTTGTCTGAGGCTTAGAGGAACATTTCTAAGAATATGCCCAACCAAACTTGAGGATTTTCACAGTGATATAAATTAAAAAACAAAGTCTATCAATAGATATTAGGCATAATGTTTTCAATGTTATTCGAGCAGTAACACTGTTAATTTACGTAGTCAATGCAACAACCTTAAACGATTCAAAGAAAAAAGGTTGGCCTAAGTGCAGTATGAGCTTATCCAGATCATTATTAAGTTGGGTCATCTGAGGTCTTGCCAATTTATCTACAATAGGTTAATACCTTCTGAAAGTTCTTGTTATGACTGCCGATAAGTATTCTCATGCCAGCTGGTGTTTTGGAGACAGAACAGATTGTCTGTACCGAGCCAAGTCTCTGCTGGAGAAAGTCAGGGTTAATGACATAAGGGGCTTTTAAAGCCTGACCATGTAGGTAAACAAGATGTAGAAAAGTCCAGACTCCAGACTGTGTGACAGTTTTCTGAACTAAATAAAATAGAGAGAGATTTAAATGAAATCTAAATGTTTACATTTCAAAAACACAGCTCCCTCTTTTGGTTATTTATAACCTGCATCATCATATATACATAACTGAAGTCACAGAAGTTCACTTAACAGGCGACATGCACGTTTTTAGAACATTGTGAAAAAGAAATGAGTAATCATAGTTAGTGTGATACCCAACCATTCATGAACATTAACAAAGTGGCAGAATGTCAGCAAACATACAGTCATGGCCAAAAGTTTTGGCAGTGACATAAATTTTATGTTTTGCAAAGTTTGCTGCTTAAGCTGTTGTGGTGTTCATTCACATTGTTTCTAGATTATTGTGTAGAGTGATCAGATGCATTTGAAATAATTGCTAAAAGCTTCATTGGCCAAAAAAATTACTTTTCACAAAAAAATGAAAACTGATTTCACTGTTTTTTGATCCTGACACAAAATGACCAGCTAACATTAATTGACTAATCATATCAGCAGCACATGTGAAATTATGAATGAGTACTAGTCAGGTCAAATCACTAATCACTAATCATCATACTAATTAGAGAGCAGACTGATTGCTATAAAAGGAGGGAAGAAGCGCTATATATAGCCAGTATATAACTCATTTAACTAGTTCAGATAAAACATTGATTCTATTTTCTTTATTTTCGTGGAATGATCTGATGTGTGAAATAGTTTTGCTCAGTTTGAGAAGAAGTAAAGCTTGACTCCGTGCGCCTTGCCAGGTTGTCCTGCTATTGCATATTTTTAATATCCATCTGTATAATATTGCTTTTTAATATTTTACTTAAAATGGGCTAAAATAATTGAAAGAAAGCATTCACACACTTTACAATCAAGTTTAGTATATTTACTTCAATGTATAAATCTTAAAACAAGTATTATGTCAGTCTTATGTTATGCTATGCTGTAAATATAAAATGCCTTTTAATTTCTTCTCATGTGGCTCATGTTGCACTACATAGTCCAGTCTATAATTCATTTAAGTAGTGCACTGCAGATGAAACTTATTTTAATTGTATTTTGTATCATGATCTAATGTGTGAACTGGTTTTGCTCTATCTAATAAGAAGAACCAGTAAAAGATTGACTCTTTATGCCTTATTATCAGGATGCCCTGCTATTGCTAAATGCAGAGCATTACAAACTAGCATATGTTTAACACCGGAGGGACACAACACTTCCGCCTTCTGTTCTTACAGCCTATGAAAACGTATGTCAGAAAGGGGGACTGCCTGAAGGTTTTTGCATACTGAAGCATGGACTTACACCATTGCTTTTCATTTAAATGCTGGGAGGCGGGGTATAGAGAGGTTAGTGAATAAATCTAAGCAGTTCTGTTCATTTTATAGCTTGTCCCTTTAAGAGATCACTTATTCAGGTGAGTGTTGTATTTAATAGTTGGTCATTCAGATTGTTATTTCTGTCTTAAAATTCATACATCTACTTTACCAGAAGGACAACTGAAGAAGAAAACAAAATAGTTTACTGATGTTAATGCCAGTTCAAATATAGACCTATAATCTTTCTGAGACGCCATCATGGTAAACGGTCTCATATCCAAGCGGTGACTTTATGACCAATAAAAAGGCAATTAGGAAATAAATAGCATGCATGCGTATTTTGCTTTGATTAGAGACCAATGTCTTTCATTGTCAAGGACAGGCACATCCAAACCTACAGCAGATGCCTGCCACATTGACATGAAGAGGAATTAATGGGACAAGGAATCAAAAAGTTGAAAAAATGTTTGGTGAGATTTTTCTGTGAACTAATTAGTAACTGGGCAGTTTTACTTGGGAATTGCTTTGAATAGCCCCACTGCTAAGCACACAGATGTGTATGTTGTGCCACATACAGTACATCTGTACTTGTAATTTGTGGAGTTTTAATAATGATTATAAAACGTTGGGGACTTTAACATCATTACCATCATATATAGCTGTATTAGTCCTATTAATAATGACCTGAGATGTAAGATCAAGCTTTTGTTTCCTGGTTTCTCTCTAGCTGCAGATCAAACAGCTTTAAAGGCTTTAATAAGAGAAGTATGTGAGAATAATTTCTAATGACTGGTAAACGCTGTCCCTAAACCCTCTCAAACACTGATTGATGTGTAACCTTTCATAATCGTGTTAACTTGCATGACTAATTATTGATTTGTTTCTACAGAAACAGCTAAAAAAAGGGAAAACAGAAACTGTTGTCCACTCGCTCCAAGCACAATGATTAATCAGTTACCCCTATTTAACAGACATTCAGTTTGATCTTCAAAGGAGATCACTTACTGATCAAAGGTTTTTCTCCCTTTTTCAGGAGCTGTCTTAAAAGCCACATCAGTGCATGGGTCCCTCATCACTGGAAGCCATGGAGGACCTAAACTCTGTGACTGTGGGCACACTAACTCAGGTGCCATTCCAACTGGTTTCATTCCTCCAAAGGTGCCCAGTATTGAACTGATGCCCCGTGTAGCATGTGATGCCATTCCATTAGCTGTCATCAGTTTTGCTTTTACCGTTTCTCTGTCTGAGATGTTTGCTAAAAAGAATGGTTACACAGTTAGGCCCAACCAAGAAATGATAGCAATTGGGTTTTGCAATGTAATTTCTTCATTTTTCCATTCTTTCACTACAAGTGCCGCCCTTGCGAAAACTATGGTGAAGGACTCAACAGGTTGCCAGACTCAGGTCTCCAGTGTAGTTAGTGCCTTAGTGGTTCTTCTGGTCCTTCTTTTCTTTGCACCATTTTTCTACGCCCTGCAGAAATGTGTCCACACCTGCATCATCATCGTCAGTCTGCGGGGTGCCCTGCGCAAATTTTGAGACGTCCCTACGCAATGGCGTGAAAACAAGATTGAGGCAATTGTCTGGTTGGTGACCATGAGCTCAACTGCTTTAATTAGCCTGGAGCTTGGGTTGCTGATTCGTGTGGTCTTCTGTGTGGTGGGCCAGACTCAGAATCCTAAAGTTTCGTTACTGG